AGAGGATAATAAGATCAATCGGCGAGTCTTAGTGCACATGTTGAAGCGACTTGGCTACAGAGACATATATGAGGCTTGTAACGGCAAGGAAGCCGTCCGCATCATGCAAGATGTTCTTGAGGCACAGCGTCCTGGCCAACAAAGCCCGAGTGAGGATTCGAAGCTAGTGAATGAGTCCGACGGCTTCACGGTTCCCAAACCACCCAGTCAAACCAAGACACGAAAACTAGTGGACGTGGTACTTATGGATCTCTGGATGCCAGAGATGGATGGCTACGAGGCCACATCCAAGATTCTACGGATGGTTGAAGAACACCGGAGCAAGCTTGCCTCCGATACTCCGACTGACCAGCACCTTACCGACACACAACCTCCAACAGTCCTGGCTGTCAGTGCCGATGTCACAGACGAGGCTCTAAACCGTGCCACGAAGGTTGGCATGAAGGGTTACATGACCAAGCCGTACAAGCTCTCGGACTTGGAACGGCTGATCCTGGGCTTTTGCAGCAACAATACCGCACGGCCGCACGATGATTCGATGAATGCATGAACTCGTCCATTTTCTGTTTGTTTTTGAAACTCTTGTTCTTTTCTGTTTCTCGCTTGATACCTCACCGTTGACCTTCCTTTCGACTCTTTTGCTACCGCCCACTCGGGCCAGACTAGTATTGTCTTATTTCGTGGACTCCTTTTTCTCCACGTGATGTTTCTATAGATAATTTTTCCGTTGCTGATGTTTGAATGAGCGATCTTGTGCACCCTTAATGATCTATGACCAGGGGCAAAAACGGAGAGCTGAATAAACGAGAGCTCGATGGACTTGGAATATAATAAATCCAATTCGATGATGATTCTTATTGACATGGGTTGAATTCGATGCCACTGCATTGACAGTCTTGATAAATGAATAGGCGGTGGTAAATAGTCCATTCGTACTGTTGTGTGCTGAATGGGCGGGATAAGTCATGTTTTGCACAGTTTTGTTGGGGATCTCATGGGCCTCCGTCCGATTGATATATACCTGACGGCTCGCTTGGGATACTCCGAGCAGCCTATGCAGACGAAAGCTATACTCCACATCAAGAACTCAACTGACCAACCGAACACCTTGAGAACGCTAAGATCACCTTATATTCCTTGACTAGACATCTTTGAACATAGTAGCACAGCCTAAGCGCGAAGAAGATAATATGGATCATGTCATGTCCCCGTAAGACCAAACAAACAAACATTTGGAAATACGAACGACTTAGAAAAGTTTATTACATCGCTGAAAAGAAAACACCGATCATATAAAGCTACCGGGCCCGATTTGGTAATATTCTCTCCCTCTCTCTCCCTCAATCTTCTTTCATTGCCCCACAGAACCAACGAGAAGAAACAAAATCACAGCTCGAAAGAAAAGAACCCCCCTTTCGTCCGATCGACATGGGCATTTATGTGAGCTTCTGCTTGATGAAGAAAGAGCGGAGATGCGAGAGTTGCCAGGCACAAGCGGCCGAAAGAACGAACAGCTGGATCAGGGTCCACCGGACAACGCGGGAATTGGTAGCCTCGGACTGGTCGCGGAATTCGGCCTCACGTTCCTGTTAATTTTTTGGGATTAGCGAGCTCTTTCATTGAACCCCGAGATCGTAGAGGGCGGGGTGGGGCCTGTTCTCAGTGCATATAGAGAGAGGGGGGATCGCGTCATAGTTGAAAGCACAAAACTGGGTTCAGGAGGGGGGAAGTCAGGGCACATACCCGCTGGAACACCTGCTCTCTCCGGATATCCTGCAAGCGACCGTTCAGGTCCTTGACCTTCTGCACAATGTCCTGCATCTTGTCCTTGTCCTCCGACTCGATCTTGCTGGTCTCGCCGATGGCCATGTCGAGGGTGACCTGGACGGCGCCGGTCTGGGCGCCGGACAGCCAGCCGCCCGTGGCGGCGTTGGTCTCGGGGGTGAGGCAGATCTTGTGCAGGCCGGCGTCGGCGGCGGAGAAGGTCCAGCGGCCCGAGTGGCCGTCGCGCTTGGAGACGACGCGGTGGTCGTTGTCGAAGATCTCGTCCACGGTGATGAGCATCTTCAGGTTGGGGTCGACGATATACGTGTTCGATTGTTCGTTGATGACGGCCGTGGAGTAGGTGCCTGTTGTTGCTTTGGATTAGCTTGGGTGTGAAATTGATGATCTTGCCGGGCAAATTACTGACCGACAACGAGGGTGTCCTTGGGAAGCTCCTCATAGAAGCACTTGGTTTGGCGCCCGTCCATGAAGAAGTAGAGGGCGTTGGCGGGCACCGACAGACACAGGATGGCACATACGGCCAGCGCAGAGGAGAGCCATGAGGCCGATGATCGAGACGCAGCCATGATGCGATCCAGATCCAGGAGTAAATTGACCTAAGAATCCGAGTAAATGAAAAGGAGGGGGAGGAAACAAAAAGAAAAGGTAAAGTGGAGGAGGGGGAGGTCGACTGGCAGAGCAAGTAGAGAAGGACAGATTAGGATGGCAGCAGCAGCAGCAGCAGTTGAAACCAACAAGACAAGAAGAACTGGCCCGAGTCGGTCTTGGCGCGAATTCATCCTCTCTTCAAGTCCTCCCTCCGCCCACTCCACCCCCCCCTCCCCTCTTTCTCATTCAACTCGGTCGTTCCCCTAATAGCTGTCATCACCCTCCATCGCATTTATTGCTCGATTAAAACCTTGAATAAATTCTCTACGCTTGGTTCGATCTCTCACCCTCACCCTCTCCCGATCGTCCCGGGGTCCCGCCCGTCATGGCTGCCGCCGATGTTCGCGACATGCTGGATTTGCCCGCGGAGGGCCAGCCACGTCCGCTGAAGAAGCAGAAAGTGACCGAGAAGAGACCAGGTAGGCTGCCGTGCTTGAACTTCATACCCAGCAATTTCTAACTTAATTATCTCGAGTCTAGAGGGTATCACTCGTGAGCTCTTCGCCTTACTAGGTGAGCGGGCACCTCCGATCGCAATCAACGAGAACCGCTACAAGGGCCGTCCCAAATGGATGAGCAAGATGCGTGTCCGCCCTTGGTAGGACCACTCCCTCATCATTCGCTTCAGCGAGTCACTAACACGGCTTGACACTCAGGCGGATGGCGCCATTCGAGAACGGCGCGCGATCGGACGGTCTCGTGCTGCGCCATTGGCAACGGCAGAACGAGCCCGCGAAACCCGCCCTAGAGGGATCTGAGATGGAAGTGGACGACAAGACCGACGGCAAGAACGCGTCCGAGACGGTGGAGAAGGATTACATGTTCGCCAAATACAACATCAAAGCGCGCGTGCCCAACCGCTACACCGATGAAGAGTACAACCGCCACTTGAAGAATGACGACTGGACTCGCCAGGAGACCGACTACCTGATGGACTTGGTCGAGGAGTACGATCTCCGCTGGGTGGTGATCGCCGACCGCTACGATTACCAACCGCATCCCGTCGACGCGGAGACGAACACAACGGCCCTCGTCCCGGCCAAACGATATCGGACAATGGAACAGTTGAAAGCTCGCTACTACTTCATCGCCGCATCCATGCTCGCCCTCGAGCACCCACCGTCCGAGATGTCCGAGGCCGAATTCGAACTGCACGAGAAGATGATGAAATTCGACCCGGAACGCGAGCGCTCCCGCAAGGAGCTCGCGGCCCTGCAGCTCAACCGCACCGCCGACGAAGTCCGCGAGGAGAGTATCCTCCTGGAAGAGCTCAAACGCATCACCGCCAACGAGCAAGAGTTCATCACTGAGCGCCGGGAGCTCTACTCCCGCCTCGAGGTCCCCATCAGCGTCGGCAACACCACCATGTACCAGTCCAGCCAGGGTCTCTCGCAGCTCCTGCAGACCCTCCTCCAAGCCGACAAGAGCAAGAAGCGTCGCTCAATCCTGGGCCCCGAAAGCGCCGGCGCCGCCCCCAGTCCGGCCGGGCAGACTCCCGCCTCCAACGCCCCCGGCAGTGCCCGGGACAGCCGCGCCGATACCCCCAATGCCTCCGCGCCCGCCACCACCGCCACCGCCGCTGCTGCCCCCACCAACAAGAAGGCCGCCGCCGCCGCTGCCGCCGCCGCCGCGGCAGCCGCGACCAAGGAAGCCGAGAAGACCGTCAAGACGCTCACCCCGGCCGAGGAGGCCAAGTACGGCGTGCAGCACCACGAGCGGCTGGCCCCCGGCGTGCAGTTCCGCAGCGATCGCGCCCAGAAGCTCACGCAGGCCAAATCCAACGTGCAGACGCAGAAGCTGGCGGCCGCGCTGGCCGAGCTCGCCGTGCCGCTCCGCCTCGTCATGCCCACGGAGCGCGTGTGCAAGGAGTTCGAGAAGCTCATCCACTCGGTCAACCTGCTGCTCGACGCGCGCAAGGTCGCCGAGAAGGTGGAGAGCGAGATCCGCGTGCTCGAGGCCGCCAAGGAGGAGCGTGAGCGCAAGACCAAGGAATCTCAGCAGGAGAAGACCTCCACCACGTCCACTTCCACTAGCAAACCCGAGGTCAAGTCCGAGCAGCAGGACGAGGAGGACGGCCCGCCGCTGATCCCCGCTGATGCTGCCGCCGAGGCCGCCACGGCCCCCGATCCCAAGGGTCCGGCCACTGCGGCCCAGGTGGAGGGCGAGCCAGCAGCAGAAGTGAAAGGGACGAGTGGTGTGCCGGCTGGTTTGACGGAGGGGCAGGATGGAGCGTCGCACAAACGCTCGGCCAGTGTTTTGAGCAATGCAAGCGACAAGAGCAACAAGCGACAAAGAAAATAAGGCCTAGGGCCTCGAGTTGTGTGTTTCGGGCAAGGGCGTTTTGATTGGGAAGGAATTCGGGGGCGTCTTGATGCTTTAATATATACCTTTGTACGATTATATGAAACCCTGCGCGGTTGCTTTCCAGGATTGCAGACTAAAATTGCATAAACTTCCAATGACTTCAAGGGGTGATGGTCACCTCATCACATGCTCCCGGCCCTGTCCACAAGGTCCTTTGATCGGCCCCCCTCCCTCCGCACCTAGTATGTATAAAGCGAATATCCCCAGCGTCTTGTCTAACGTATGCATTCTTGCTCGCCACAAACCGAGATATCAATACACAACAATCCAACCCTGTCATATCTCTCCCATGGTCAGTGTTGACTAGTCTGCCCTGAAGCAGGCCCACCGAGTCTTCAATACAAAGCGTTTACTACCTATAGAATTGTCTTCAAGCCCTCGAGCCCAGCACACAGGTTACATACTCATCGACTCACTCACCTACAGAAAAGATCTCCTCACAATCCTGATAGTTGCTTTCCCAGCCATCAGTGACTACAGTCGAGCCAGTCTGTTCCGAGAACTGCTTGCGAACCGGGTCTACGCTGGGACTGCTTGGTCCATCTTCCTCGTGAGAAGACTTGTGCTTTCCGCCGGGCCATTGCTTAAGAGGAACCATCGGCTCACCATCCTCGTCTGTTTGGGCTCGGCGTTTACGATCCAAGACCCGGAATTTCATAGCTCGCCCGTCTTTCTTTTGTATCACTGGGAACCGCCCGGCCGATGCGTTTAACTTGGCAGTTGCTTTGGCCTCCAGGTCGCGCGCCATCGCAGACATACTGCGGCCCTTGGCCCATAGACTTCCGGTGCGACGCAGAGTCGACCATCTTCCCAGAGACATCCCGCGTCCTTCTGTGCTCATACTGGATGCCGACGGACTCGCTTGTGGGGGCTGTTGCTCGCTTGGAGATTGGTTAGGATCGACCCAGGCACAGAAATCCCAAGGGTCCTTTGCGCCAGCTGATGGCTCTGGGTCGGAGTGATCCTTCTTCCTTTTTGAAAATTTCCCCAGAAGAGAAGACTTTAGTGACTCATCGCCTGCAGTTTCATTAGTTGCGCCGGACCAACTGCGAAGATTGATGTGGCCAATGATGGAAGAGATATCGAGACCAGTTCCTGCTTTCTTCGAAAGCGACGTTATATCCTGCTGCTGTGGCTGGTCCTCGACAAGGGTTGCCTTCTCAGTCTGCGTATCAGTCTCCGGTGTCGCGTCTTGGCTTGAACCGTTGATCGCACATGGACCGGACTGTTCTTTTGAGGGCCTGTCGTTTTCTTCAGCAGCGGATACTAATGTGTACCCATAGCCAAGACGCCGTCCACCAGACATCCAGCCCACGCTCACTTTCCGGGGCGATACAAGATCTGCGTCAATGTTAGTTGGAAAGCTGATGTTTGACGAAGCGACTGAAAGGTCCGAGTGAATCTGTTCTACAAATCTGCCGCACGAGGCTAGCGCACTAGTCGTATTGTCATGGACGAGTCTGGAACTCGCAGACTCAGCATTGGCTATATCTTCCAGCAGCCGGGGTGAGCAGTCTCGAGTAGGATGAAGGCTTCTTTGGGATTGTCTCTCTACCGGAGTCGTGTTGTGCGCTATTTCTGCCTTGCCCAAGTATGTTCTGGACCCAGCCGAATACTGGCTGTCTGGTCGAGAATAGCAGGAAGATGTCTGGTGTGGAAAGGGCCTATATGTCGGTTCACTTACGTCTCTTGCCCTGCCTTTGCCCGCCACTGGGCCATCATCAATAAGCTGTTGCGTTGGCTTCCGCAGCCTGACATCACTAGCCCATGGATTTCCCTCGAAGGATTGCTTCGTTGAGAGAACCCGAGGAGAGGTTGTACGAGATGCAAGCATCCTATGAATCTCCATGTCCTCGAGATGAACGGAAGCATTGCCGGAGGCAGACAATGGAGGTTGTTGTCTTCTCTTTCTAACCGAAAGCCCCGTTGAGGGCCCAGCTAGCGAGTCTATAGATGTCGTGTAATGGGTTGGTACCGGGGAGGCGTGGCCTGGAGTTCTCGAGCGATACTCATAACATCCCGAGGACGAAAAATGGTTGGCCTCGGGGATAGTTGGAGAGCTATGTAGGGGGTTTGACAGCTTTGGGGTCCCAACTGGAGAAGGTGAAGAGTATCCATCCTGCTTGTCCCATGGCACACACTCTGTTGACCTCGGAGTCATGAACCCAGCATGATAAGGTTGTGCGGCTTGGACCCGACAGCTTGCACTGCTTCCCACACGGGAGAAAGGGGGCGTTGGTGTCGGATGGATGGCCCAGATTGCCTTGTCCATGGAAGACCAAGGATTTTGTGTTCCTTCCAGTATAGTCTGGTCTACTCCAGGTGCGTTCACCGAGTCTCCATTCGATACACCAGATGTACTGCCTGGGGCAGATTGACCGTTCCTTCCGTCCCCACGAGATTGAAGCTTGGACAGAGAGGTTGTCTCGTGTACGAGATTTTCCGCGACCAAGCGATCTGGCGTGCGATTGATTTGTTTTGGGGTGCTGATGAACTGAGCGTCACTGTCATAGCCCCTCTCGCTCATCAAACTGCTTCCAAAACCAACTGGGGAGATGGTGTCCAGCCGTTTACTGGCAAATCTCGACGGATCGCGCAAGGTAGGGGATTCCGATTTCCTCGCGGCCCTCGTGGGGGCTTCATGGAGGCCTTTGTGTTCTCTCGAGAATCGCTTGCGTAATTTTTCCGATAAGCCACCGGCGGAGGTCCCAGAGGAGGAGAAGCGAACGGCATCCTCTCTGGAGGTGAATTGAGCTATCACGAGCGAACCGTTAACAGATGAGTTTACAGGCAGGGATTGAGTCACGCTGTACCACTACCCTGACCACTTTCCACAGCTCCATTTGGAGGCGAAGTGACTGGATGCAGTGGGTACGCAGGCCCCGTTCCTGGCGGGTCTGGTTTCTTCCAGTACGCGCGGAGTCGGGGGCAAAAGAAAATCCCCATTGTCGATGACCGCCGCGGAGTGTTCAGCAGTGTTGATCAGATGGCGACTGTGGCAATTGAAGCCATAAAGTGACCCATGAGCGCACGAGCATGGAGAAGACCAAACCTCCCATGACTACCTTTGCAATCATCTCGAGTTGCTACTATAGGGAAGGCGGGGGGGGGGGGGGGAGCGTGGCGTGAGAATCGCCAGACCCCAATTGAGGCAGGCGCGTTCGTATTCTTGCTTGAGTCCAATTCATCAGAATGGAAAGACAGCGTACCACTAGGTAAGTATAGACTAGGAGTTTATCCAGCATGTGTCCGAAACGAAGCAACAATCAGACTGCTGCAGCGATCTGGGGAGAGGGCTCAAGTAAAAGTTCCCAGCGCCGGACAACAAATTGGTCTCCGAACTCACTCGCCGGAGCTCCGAATGATGGAAGCGGGGATCCTTATCCAACATGGCTGATGCTTCGGACAAATTGAAATCAGTCAGATTGTTGGAGCTTTACTGAAGTGGCAATTGTTTACATAGAACATCGCGGATGAAGCAAATCATAGTCATCCAAGGTTACCAAAGTCACCGGAATGAATAACTTTACCTACAAGTTACAATCTCCCTCCAAATAGGCATCTGGCCCTGGCTTTTAGTGGCCGATCGCGGACGCAGCCAGACCGTCTCCGATGGTTTCTCCGGACTGCGACCGGCCGGTCCCTCGCAACTGGCTAACTTACTGGCTAGCTTAACTTAACTACTGGCTGTGACTCAAACGATTTACCCTGGGTTAATTAACTTTTTGGGGGGTCTTTTTGGGTCTTTTGGTTTTTGGTTTTTTTTTCCCTTCCGATTGACTTGATCACGCCATTTGGCACTATTCAATTGCTGGATTAGCCTCATACTTCGGCGAGATGATTGACTGTCCTTACCAGTAGTTCTCCGTAGTTCAATACACATTCCTTACAGTTTTCTTGCATAGAACAATTGAGACAAACGAGACAATCATTGGCCTTACTGATGAGCATTCGATGCATGAGAATGAGAACGTGCAGTCCGAGGGGCCACGGGATACCATGGGAGGGCACTCTCCGCAGTCGGTCCATGGACAATGATTTGATAATGCGATTAGATCAAGGCAAAGATACCCAAGTTGAACCTTGAACTTTTTTGAATGTCCAACCGGGGAATCGCTATCGGAGGGTTGTTGACAGTCCGGAGGGGCTGTAATTTTACCGGTTATTACCGGCCACGAAACCCCGCCAAACTTTCCGCCATCCCATCCAGACAGACCCAGTCAGAAAGAAGAAAGAAACCTTCGGCCTCCGATGTTTTATGATTTTTTTTTTCTCTTCTTCTTCTTTGGTACAGTACAGGCAGTACAGGCAGTACAAGCAGTGGTTGTAGCCTGAGGTTTTCCGCCTCCCCTGCCCCTCCCCCTCCCAGCTTATATTTCCCCTCCATCCCCCCCTCCTCCTCCATCTTCTTCTCTTCTCTTTCTCTTTCATCTCTCCCGTGTGTTTTTCTCCCTCTCTATCTCTATCTCTCATCTCTCTCCCAGCAAGAGGATTGATTCTTCTTGTCTGTTCTTCCTTGTGTTGTGTGCCTTGCAACTCATTCACTACTCCATCCACAAACCCTCACCCTTTCTCCCCCCATACATTCACACACATCCGTCAAGATGGTTCAGTCTTCTGTCTTGGGTTTCCCCCGTATGGGAAAGCTCCGTGATCTCAAGAAGGCTACTGAGGCTTACTGGGGTGGAAAGATCTCTCGTGATGAGCTCCTGAGCGAGGGAAAGAGACTCCGTGCTGAGCACTGGAAGCTCCAGAAGCAGGCTGGTGTCGACATCATCCCCAGCAACGACTTCGCTTTCTACGATCAGGTCCTCGACCACATCCAGCTCTTCGGTGTATGTCTAAGCCCCTCTGCTTCATGCCCAGGCATCTTGGCTAACATGCTTCTTCATAGGTCATCCCCGAGCGCTACAGCAAGTACGGTCTCGACCCTCTCGATGAGTACTTCGCCATGGGCCGTGGTCTCCAGAGACCCGCCAAGGATGGCCAGGCCGCTGTCGATGTTCCCGCTTTGGTATGATACGCTTCAAAGCATGTTGGATACGATCAAGGCTAATACTGTCTCCAGGAAATGGTCAAGTGGTTCGACTCTAACTACCACTACGTCAAGCCTACTCTTCAGGACAACCAGACCTTCAAGCTCGCTGCTGAGCCCAAGCCCGTTGTCCAGTTCCTCGAGGCCAAGGAGGCTGGTGTTGTCACTCGCCCTGTCATCCTGGGTCCCGTCTCCTTCCTCACCCTCGCCAAGGCCGACCGTGGCCAGACCATTGACCCCATCTCCAAGCTCGAGGAGCTCCTTCCCCTCTACGTTGAGCTCCTTGCTAAGCTCAAGGAGGCCGGTGCCGAGGATGTTCAGATTGATGAGCCCGTCCTCGTCTTTGACCTCCCTGCCAAGTCCAAGGCTGCTTTCAAGCCCGCCTACGAGAAGCTCGGTGCCCTTGGTGACAAGGCTCCCCGCCTCGTCCTTGCCACCTACTTCGGTGACATTGTTCACAACATTGATGTTCTTCCTGCTCTTCAGAGCCTCTACGGTATCCACATTGACCTTGTCCGCAACCCTGAGCAGCTCGACACTGTCGTCGGTGCTCTCGGCTCCAAGCAGATTCTGTCTGCTGGTGTTGTTGACGGCCGTAACATCTGGAAGACCAACTTCAAGGCTGCCATCGAGAAGGTTGAGCTCGCCATCCAGAAGCTCGGCAAGGAGCGCGTCATTGTTGCCACCTCCAGCTCTCTCCTCCACGTTCCCCACACTCTCGAGAGCGAGAAGAACTTGGATGCTGAGGTCCGTGACTGGTTCAGCTTCGCTGTTGAGAAGCTGTCCGAGGTTGTTGTGATCGCCAAGGCTGTTACCGAGGGCCCTGCTGCTGTCCGCGAGCAGCTCGAGGCCAACGCCAAGTCCGTCCAGGCCCGTGCTTCCTCCAAGCGCACCAACGACCCTGAGGTCAAGGCCCGCCAGGCCGCCGTCACCGAGGAGATGCACAACCGCAAGTCTCCCTTCACCACCCGTATCGCCGAGCAGACCAAGTCCATCAAGCTTCCTCTCTTCCCCACCACCACCATCGGATCTTTCCCCCAGACCAAGGAGATCCGTGTCCAGCGTAACAAGTTCACCAAGGGTGAGATCACCGCTGAGCAGTACGAGAAGTTCATTGAGCAGGAGATCGAGGAGGTCGTCAAGATCCAGGAGGAGCTCGACTTGGACGTTCTCGTCCACGGTGAGCCCGAGCGTAACGACATGGTCCAGTACTTCGGTGAGCGCCTCACCGGTTACGTCTTCACCACCCACGCCTGGGTTCAGAGCTACGGATCTCGCTGCGTGCGTCCTCCCATCATTGTCGGTGACATCTCTCGTCCCGCTCCCATGACCGTCAAGGAGTCCAAGTACGCCGTCTCGATCTCCAAGAAGCCCATGAAGGGTATGCTCACTGGTCCCATCACCTGTCTCCGCTGGTCTTTCCCCCGTGACGATGTGCACCAGTCTATCCAGGCTCAGCAGCTGGCTCTTGCCCTCCGCGATGAGGTTGTTGACCTCGAGGCTGCCGGTGTCAAGGTCATCCAGGTCGATGAGCCCGCCCTCCGTGAGGGTCTTCCTCTCCGTGCTGGCACGGAGCGTGAGAAGTACCTCGAGTGGGCCGTCAAGGCTTTCCGCCTGTCCACTGCTGGTGTTACCGACGGTACTCAGATCCACTCTCACTTCTGTTACTCCGAGTTCCAGGACTTCTTCCACGCCATCGCTGCGCTGGATGCCGATGTTCTGAGCATTGAGAACAGCAAGTCTGATGCCAAGCTGCTCAAGGTCTTCATCGACGAGGCCTACCCCCGCCACATCGGTCCTGGTGTCTACGACATCCACTCTCCCCGTGTTCCCAGCGAGCAGGAGATCAAGGACCGCGTCGAGGAGATGCTCCAGTACCTCCGCCCTGAGCAGCTCTGGATCAACCCTGACTGTGGTCTGAAGACCCGTCAGTGGCCCGAGACCAAGGCTGCCCTGAGCAACATGGTCGCGGCTGCCAAGTACTTCCGCGAGAAGCACAGCAACTAAATTCTTTTTACATATTTAATCAGCCCATGATTGGGGCGACGATTTTCAACCCGTCGTCTCGGAGAGAACAATCTGTCGATTGTTGTCCGTCCATTTTCTTATGATGAGTTTACGATGTGATACCAAAAGTTCAACATATGGGTTCAGGGTTTCATTAGATGGGGTCCCCGGAGTTTTCAACATGTCTTTATGACGATTTCAACATCGGCGTCTGCATTAAACATCAGCGCCAAGATCTTTATTTCTGCCTTTTAACAGCGGGAATACTCGGTGATGTCTGGTGCTTCGCCGGTGTCTTACACATAATATTTCAACAATGTGATACCACACGAAGAGGTTGCTACTGTACCACCTCTTTGGCAATTTAATTTTTACTTTTCGAATTATCGTCGTACTTGCTCTAGTAAAAGCGTAGTACTCGAGTAAAAAGATGCTCAACTTGGCTGATCTACAAGGATTCTCAGTCTTTCTAGTCTTTCAACGAGTCCACAATATCATATCGTGGTGTCTTAGCCATTGCTTCGATCGCTAAAAACTCCCAGACTAGTTCTACATGGCTAAGCATACACTAACAAACCAACCCCTCTAATCAAGTAGTATACAAACCATCCCTCAAACTTCGTATTCCCATCATCATCCCCTCCCTCTGTCTACCCTCCCTGAAACCAAAATACAACCCCCCCCTTTCGTGAATGCTAAAGCAAAGCAACCCTAAAACCACCCACAAAACGGCACCACCGCCCCCCTCCCCGCAACCTTCTCCTCCCCAAACCGCTCCACATACCACCTCCGCCCCCACCGCGCATGCGGCAGCATATTGGTCACCGCGTTCACCACAAACACCGCCGCCGGCACGGGGAACGGCAGCCCCACGGCCGCGGCGAGCTGCGCCGCGGGACGAAGC